ATATAGGTTAAAACTAATTGCAACGTAAGTTGTAACATTAAAAGTTGCAACATATTAATTACAGTTCCCATCTTTATTACTAAGTTTTTTTAGTAAAACTGAAACTGCGATGGCGTTTATTACTAAATTTTCTTAGTAAACTGAAACTGCAAAGTTATTTACTAAGTTAATAGTAAAAATTCACCTGTTACTAAACTTACTTTGTAAAAGCTATCTTTGAAATTTTTTGGTGTAATTACTAATAATTTTCTTAATTAAAACTTTAGAATAACTTTATTTAATATATTATTGTAAAAATTAAAATTTTTATATTTGATTTGATTTGATTTGATTTGATTTTACAAATATTTGATTCAATTTGGTTCAATCAAATATTTGAATTCAATTTGATTTGATTTGATTTGATTTAAAAAAATCAAATTAAATTCAAATTGCTTAAATATTTAATTCAATTCGATTTTGAGAAACCTTACAAATTATATTATGGTAAAGATCCAAGTATTCTTAATATCATAATGGATTTATATAAGTTATATCATAAATTAGCTAAAAATTATTTCATTACAGAAACCCAAGTTGATGAAGAAACAGAAGACTTTCTAAATTACTAAGTATTCATTGAGATAGTAGCTGAGCTTCTTTAATAACCATCAATCTTTCTCTCACAAAAGATCTTTTCAGACTATATCCCTCATTATCTTCTAACCAATATAAGACCGGCTGATTTTTTTGCACTAAAAATTCATGAATATAATAGACTTAAGGAAGCTTAATCATATTTCCAGCATGTTTTTTCCACCTTTTAACTCACTTGGTTTAAGTAAATATCTTACAAGAACATCATAAGTTAATTGTTTCTTATTAAACCTATAGGTCTATTTTGAGACTTAGAAGATTTTACATAAACATGCTTCAGTTTTCGTTCAAGCTCAACAACGTTCTGATAGAGGTAATCTCATATCAACAGTATCTTGAATAATAGATAACCATTCTTGTAATGTCTTATTAAACCTTTCAATAATATTCATATTTTCTTTAGAATTAGTTATTAGAATATTGATACCATATTTATTTATTAATCTAATAATATTACTATGAAATTCAACATCCCTATTCATCATTAAATCTTTTTTAAACCAAGTAAGCAGACATTTTTGGAAGTTAAAAAGTTTTTTAAGGCCTATAGCAATACTAGTAGAATCATATTTAGTTAAAGGATAGGTCCATTTTGTACGAATAGCAATATCTACACAATTAAGTGCAAATTTATAAATTTTATTTCCAATTTAATCATAATATATATAGCATAAGTCAGCTTAAATAACCTCCATAGATATAATAACATTAATAAAAGATGCACTTGAAATATTTCTAGGATAAGGTTTATAAACCTGATGTATAGCTTGTCTCTCAAGCTAATCACACACTTTATTTAAGGTAAAATCAAACCCAGCATTTAGAGAAGTTTAATGCAATTTTTTCACAGTTCTTTGAAAGCCTGAAGGCTGATAATAAATCTTTTGCAAATCAATAGATATATCTAAATTTCTAACTTTATTCAAATCTATTTATATAATAGGAATCAACATTTTTTTCTCATATTCATTTAAAAAAGACCAAAATTAATACATTAATATTTAAAATAATTAAGCCAGGTTCCTTTGCGAATCCATTCTTTTAAAGGTCTATGATTGAGAAAGAAGCTTATATCAAATTCCTTAATACTAATAAAGAGTTACACAAAGAATTAGTAGATGAAATAGTCTTAAATGAAATTTTCAATAAAAGCTTAAGATTCTTAACAAGGAGCTAGATGCATATTATAAAATTATATCTCAGCAAGATTTTACAATCTTAGTTTATGAAGATGAGATAGCATCTCTTAAGACTGAGATAAAATCTCTTAAATAGCGTTTGCAAAAAGCATTGCAGGATTTAAAACATAAAGGTAATGCTAGTACTATTCAAGATATCAACATTTTAAGACTAAAAAATAAGATTGAATAACTTAAGACCTGTATTTATGAAATAACTAGTCTAAGTCAGAAAAAAGTTTTAAATAATAAAGAAATATTAGATATAGAATATATAATACAAGCTATTTTAGATAGGCAATTTAAAGCTTCAGCTTCTTAGCAAGAATTCAGATACATTTGGATAATACAGGAGTTATTCTTCCAGATGATATAAGAGAACAATTTGATAGAGTTGGTACATATTTGGTTAATATTATTACTTATACTAGTATAATTCATTAGTTTTGGTAAGATCGAAATATAGTAGTAGAATAAAGTGTTTGATGGGTCAGAACTCTAGGGTAACAATTGCAAGAAGTCTAAGCAAGATTATATAATGATAACTAAATGCTAATACAAACTCTAAATAATGAAGCAAATGAGTGTTGGGTATGGACTCAGAAAGTAGAAAAGCATAATAATATATTATTACAAAAAAGGTAGGCCTTCAGTTAATAAATCAAAAACATAAAGCTGAGACTAACTTAGCAGAATTTAATTGAATCTGAATATTTAACAGATATTAAAAATGGAAAAATCAAGAAATAAATTCAAGGCAAATTATTTTGAATTTACAAATGAATCCTTCAGGAAATATAGCTATCCTACCAGATGTTTTAAATTCAATAGCCTCACTTTTAGTTCAAATGTTAGTCAAGAGCTGATAACTATTATAATAAGGTTATGCAGGCAATTAATTATGGCATTCATTAGGAGTTATAGGATTTGATATTGCTATAAAAACTAATGTATTAGTAGGTAAAATGGCAGGAAGATTTACTTTTCCTTAATAATAGTGCAAGAAATGCAGTCAATACTCTAGCATTATTATAGTATAGCTTTAAGAAATATATTGTGCAGTAAAACTAGGTTCAGCATAGGCTTCTATGAAAGCACTTATGTCTGATAAATTTCTTTCTATTAATACTCCAGAAACATGTGAAAACAGATTAGACCACGTGTAAATGCTTTATCACTTGCAGACGCTCTACCTATTCTTTATAGCCATTTATCTAAAAATATGGAATTATGAATTAAATCAGAAATCCAGCAAATCTAAATACTTTTTTTATCCAACATAATGATAAATAGTTAAAAGCTGGTAAACATATAGGTAAGGTTGCTTGTCTAAACTCATTATGGAATTGGCAAAATGGTAAAA